ATGAGGTGACTTTAGAAAAGCCCCTAAGGATTGGGGTTTGTTGTCAGGGGAACCAACCCTATGATAGGGTTGAAACTTTCAGCCCCATCTCCCAACCTTCAGGAAGGGGAGAGGGGCTGGAGATTGACTTGATCAGGAAGGGGCAACAATTCAATAAATCCTGCCTACATGATGAAGCCTTCATAAAAATCCCTGAACTACAGGTTCAGAGAGCGTCCAAGCTGGTGAACACATGGAGTTGCTGGGACAGTAACATGCCTGGAAAGGGCACAAAAGCTCCACTTCCTTTCCCCAAACATTACCCTGTGAATCTCTTCCATCTGGCTGCTCCGAAGTTATACTCTTTTATAATAAACTGCTAATCTAGTAAGTAAAATGTTTTCCTGAGTTCTGTGAGCCTCTATAGCAAACTAATGGAATCCCAGGAGTGGGTTGTCGAACCTCCAACTGAGAGCTGATTGGTCAGAAACACAAGTAACAACCTGGATTTGCAATTGGCATCTGAAGTGGGTACAAGTGATGGCAGTCCTGTGGGACTGAGCCCTTACCCTGTGGGATCTGACCCTATCTTCATGTAGACAGTGTCAGAATTGAGTTATAAGACACCCAGGGTTTCTGTCTGGAAAATTTAAGAATTGCTTGGTGTGGGGAAAACACCCGTACATTTGGAAGAGAGAACACCCATACATATTGCTGTGAGTGTAGAGAAGGAACACAGGAGAGTTTTTCTTCAACATTGTTGTAATGCCATATATGAACTTTTGCAAACATTCCTGTTGTCCTTCTGAATACATGATACAATTGAACCATGCTTCTGTATCCTTTAACCTAAAACATGGTCATTTTTCTTGCTTTGGTCAATAAAATGTGAAGAGAAGTGGCACATATAAATTTTGCATGAAAGCATTAAGAGCAATTGCATCATTTACCAAGTTCTTTTCCCTTTACCATGATTCTTGGTCCCTGAATGACCGTAGAGTGCAGAGCTCCCTTCAGACATACATTAAGAATGAATATGGGGAAGAAATGAATTTTTGTTATGTAGTCATTGAATCTTTTTTGCTGCTATCATAACATTACCTAGCCCATCCTAACTGATACAACTGCAAAAAAAAAAAAAAAAATTCCAGGTGATATAAGAGTAAGTCTCCTCAAGATTATGTCTCCCCTTGTGTGAACTGAGTAATATCTGAACGTTGATCTCGGATACCTAAGTTAACTAAGCACTCTGGATGAATATACTCTCCAAGTCTCACATACTAATCCCAGGTAGAAGCTGGAGACTTCCTCCTCAACAAAAGGGAGATCAATAGTTGGTTTAAAATTATTTCTTTCAGTTTCATTTTTAAAACATATGCCAAATACACAGGACACTTGAAACCATTTTTGAACATCCTTTGAGCTATCAAGAGGACATAAAATCTTCGAGATACCATCTAAATGTGCAAGATTGGTTGAAGGACATAGTGAAACATTTGGCTCCTTGGTGGTGGTAGGGCCGAGGTATGGGAAAAGTTATAAGAAAATAACTTTAATGTAATTCTTCTATTATCTCTATTATCTCTATTATTTATTAAACATTACCCTTTTATAGTAAGTTGCTGTTGTCAATTTCTTACTAATCTGGGTAACTTTGGGCAATATTGACGCTGAAAAATATTGACTAGTAATTTACATTAAAATAGATTTTCCCAAGAGTTTCCATATAATACTACATGCATAGGAATTTTTAAAAATAAAAGCTGCTGGGGTGCCTGGGTGGCTCAGTCGGTTAAGCGGCTGCCTTCGGCTCAGGTCATGGTCCCAGGGTCCTGGGATCGAGCCCCACATAGGGCTCCCTGTTCAGCCTGCTTCTCCCTCTCCCACTCCCCTTGCTTGTGTTCCCTCTCTCGCTGTCTCTCTCACTCTGTCAAATAAATAAATAAATCTAAAAATAAAAAATAAATAAATAAAAGCTGCTATCAGGTGGCATGGTGAGGCCATCCTTTCGACACTTCACCTTCTGACCTATTGCCATCTAAGGGAATTATGTATGTGGGCAAAAATGATAAATAATGGAACACTCAAGTGAATAAAACTTTCCCAGTTACTGACAGAATCTTCAGTATGCCCATATTATTCTTCAAATAATTACATTAGCTACATTTTTCTAGAAATATTGAAGGACATTCTTCAGCACCTTGAAGAACATATAATATGTGTCTTAGTCATCTCAGGCTACTATAAAAAATACCATAGACTGGTTGGCTTAAACAACAGACGCTTATTTCTCACAGTTCTGCAGGCTGGGAAGTCCAAGATTAAGGTGCTGTCAGGATTGGGTTCTGGCAAGAGCTATCTGGCTTGGAGACAGCTGCTATCCAGCTGTGTGTTCACATAGCTTTCTGTGCATGTGCAGAGAGAGAGAGAGAGAGAGAGAGATCTCTGCCTTCCTCTTCTTATAAGGGTACCAATCCCAACACGAAAGGCCCATCCCCATGACCTCATCTTAACCGAATTACCTCCCAAACCCCCTGCCTCCAAACCATCACACTGGTGGTTAGGTCTTCAATATATGCATTTTGGAGGGCCACAGACATTCAGTTCATAACAATATATTAGAACACTCTTTTGAACAGTCATAGTGTAACATATGAATTATGCAGATACTGAAGTAAAAAATATTTGATCCTGAGATAAAAATATTTTTGCCTAAATTGTTAGATTGTTTAAGATAGAAAATATTGACCAGTTTTACATTACACCCATAAATGTACTGGATAATGAAAAAGGATCTGGACAAGAATGTTTCCAGACACCAAGAGACTAGATCCAATGAGCTAAGTATGAAGACACAATTTGACCACATACACATCTTGATTCCCGAAGTCTTTTTTCATTACAGAATTAGATGCTGCTTTAAAAAATTATACATGGGGTGCCTGGGTGGCTCAGTCATTAAGCGTCTGCCTTCAGCTCAGGTCATGATCCCATTGTCCTGGGATCGAGCCCCACATCGGGCTCTCTGCTTGGCGGGAATACTGCTTCTCCTTCCCTCACTCCCCCTGCTTGTGTTCCCTCTTTTGCTGTGTCTCTCTCTGTCAAATAAATAAATAAAATCTTTTAAAAAAAATTAAAAAATAAAAAATTATACATAATATCAAAGCTCCTATCAGGTGGCATGGTGAGACAATTGGTTTTAATCCAAATAATGCATAAGCTTACTTATTATAAATAAATCTTTGGGGTCCTGGCAATTTACTTGACATTTGGTATTTGGCACAATATACAAGATCCTTACTCAAGAGAATAAGCAAATCATTTGTTCAACAGTTAAAGTGAACAAGATTCCAATCTAGTGATGACCCCAAGCAAGTGAATTCAGGAGGCGCCTGACCTTGTCTAGGGGTTTTAGGGAAGTCATCTTGGAGGAAGTGCCGTTCGTCTGAGTAGATATTAGTCGTGTGAAGAAATGAGGATGGGAAGAGGCGTGTTCAAGAAGAGGGTTGGAGGACTGCAAACAAAAGGGAGAAGATAAGGAAAGGCACACTGAGGGAAGAACACTTGTGTACATATGCCAGGAATGCAGTCAGAGGGGAGAGAAGGCTAAGAAATGAAACTAGTGGTATCCAATTTAAATTACACATTCATGTTTGGCTTTTGAGCAACACCCTTAAGGTATTGTCTGAGTCATCCAGTAGACTTTCTTTCTTTTTTTTTTTTTAATCTCAAGATGTCAAGAATGAGAATAGCTTCATTGTACTTCTGTGAAAATAAGATATTTAAAATATACCTAGTTTTTCTTAATAATATTCTGATTTGTGTCTTGAGATTTTGGTGTGCTGTCCATTGGCATTTTGGCTTGTTTTTGTTTAATTTAACCCACTTCTATTAACATATTGGAGCAATTGATCAACTATCAGTTATGATGACCTCCTATGTCTTATATTCATGTGAAATGTTTGACATTTTATTGAATATTATGAATCGTAAATACAAAACAGAAAAAGAAAAAATCCAGCAAATATTTACTGAATGCCTACTATCCATCAGACTCTGTTCTAGTACCAGAGAGAGAATCATCAGTGAACAAAAAAGATTGAAATTATGTTCTTCACTTTCTAAAAAGATAAAAAAAAAGACAAAAAATGAAACACACACACAAACAAAAAAGCCAAGATAAAATTAATAAAATGGGGGTGCCTTGGTGGCTCAGTCAGTTAAGTGTCTGCCTTCCTCTTGGGTCATGATCCTCCAGCCCCATATCGGGCTCTCTGCTCAGAGGGGAGCCTGCTTTTCCCTCCCCCTCCGCCTGATGCTCCCCCTGCTTGTTCTCTCTCTCTCTGTCAAATAAATAAATCTTTAAAAAAACTGAATAAAATGTATATGTTAAACAAGTGATCAGGTGAAAAGCACCAACGATGTCACGTGGTTAGCAGGCATGCCGTGCTATGATGTAATGAGAAAGCTCACGTAACCTCTGTGCTATTCTTCCCTAAATCCATAACCCCAATTTCATTATGAGAAAAATAGCCACACCCACATTGAAAGATGTTCTACAAAATATCTAATATTCCTTAAAACTGTCAATGTCATGAAAAATAAGGAAAGACTGAGAAATTGTCTCAGCTCAAAGGAGACTAAGGAAACATGACAACTGAATGTGATGTGGAATGCTGGATGACTCTGGAACAGAAAAAAGACATGAGTAGAAGAACCAGGGAAATTCAAATAAAGTTTGGAGTGTAGTTAATAGTATTGTACCAATGTTGATTTACTAGCTTGGACAAACATTCTACAATAATGAGAGGTGATAACACTTAGTGGAAACTGAAACTGAGTAAGGAGTATATGAGAATTTTCTGTACTATCTTTACAACTTTTCTGTAAATCTAAAAATCACCCCCAAAGAAAAAATATCATTAAAGAATTTGTAATGTAACGTCTACATTAAAAAATATACTACATAGAAATAAACATAACAAAACTGCATGACCGTTAAGAGAAAATATAAAGCTTTTATTAAACAGTATTAAAGGAGACCTAAATAAACAGAGAAATTCCATTTCACGCACACGAAATTTGAATGTAATAAGGATGTTAATTCTCCCTAAGTTAATAAATCTGTTCAATGTAATTTCAACCCAAATGCTGGCAAAATTTTTCATGGACCTCAAGAAACAGATTCTAAAATGTATATGAAACAGCAAAGGGACAAGAAAAGCTAATTCCAGGGCACCTGGGTGGCTCAGTTGGTTAAGCATCTGCCTTCCATTTAGGTCATGATCCCACAGTCCTGGGACAATCCTGCATCGGGCTCCCTGCTGAGCGGGGAGCCTGCTTCCCTCTCTGCCTGCCCCTCCCCGTGCTTGTGCTCTCTCTCTCTCCCTGACATAAATTAAAAAAAAAGAAAGAATGAAAGAAAAGCTAATTCCAATGTCAAAGAAGAACAGAGTTACCATAAACCTATAGTAATAAAAACAAAACGATATTTTCACAAACACTGACAAAACCAGTGGAACATGATAAAAGCCCAGAAACAAACAAATATGAGTATCTGTATCTATATCTAGAGAGAGAGAGAGATGGTTAATTTTATGTGTTAATTTGACTGGGCTAAGGGATATCCAGATAGATGATAAAATGTTAATTTGGGGTGTGTGTCTGTGAGGATGTCTCCAGAAAAGATTAGCATTTGAATCCGTAGACTCAGTAAAGATCACCCACATCAGTGTGAGTGGGCATCATCCAATCCAATGAGGGCCTGAATAAAACAAAATGGCAGAGGAAGGGTAAATTTGCTTTCTCTTTGCTTGAGCTGGGCCATCCATCTTCTCTTGTCTCAGGAATCAGAGCTCCTGGTTCTTGGACCTTCAGACTCAGACTGGGATTTACACCATTGATTCCTCTGGTTCTCAGGCCTTTGGGCTTGGACTGGGCTTACACCACCAGCTTCCCTGGGCCTCCAGCTTGCAGATGGCAGACCAAGGAACTATTTAAGCTCCATAATTGTGTAAGCCAACCACTCATAATAAATCTTTTCCTCTATATCCATACAAATCCTACTGGTACTGTTTCTCTGGAGAACTCTAATACAGAGAGAAAGAGAGAGAGGGAAGAATGTTAGATGTGCTAATAGATAAATGAGTACATAAATAAGGGAAAGGGGGTCTAGCGGAAGGAGGGGGTTGAGGCTAAGATTGTAGGTAGCAAGGCCAGGAAAAGCTTCAGGAGAAGGTGACTTTTGAGTAGAGGCTTGAAGGGAGGGAGGGAGTGAGGGTGGGAGCTACACTGATATCTGGAGGAAGAGCATTCAGGCAGAGAGAACTGAAAGTACAAAAAGGCCCTGAGGCATGAGCGTGCCCGCTGAGTTTGAGGAACAGGGAAAAAGGCCATGAGGTTGGAGCGCAGTCAAATAAAGAGAAAAGTAGCGGAAGAATATAGTAGAGGTAGTGGGGGAAACAGACCACGTGGGGTCTCATGGGTCATACCCTACGGTAAGGTGGGAATGTTGGAAGGGGCATAATCTATTAAATTTGTTCTGGCTGTCCTGTTCAGCATAGACTAGTGGAAGGAGTAGAAGCAGGGTTGGTCCAAGATAGTGGGGCGATGAGAATGATTACATTCTGACTACATTGAAAATGTAGAGTTGATGGGATCGCTGACAGACCAGATATGGGAAAGAGGCAAGAATAGTTCCAAGGACTTTGACCTGAGCAATGAAAGAATGGAGTCATGATTAATGAAGAAAGGGAATAAACTGGAGAAGCAGTTTTAGTGGGAAGATCAGAGCTCGGTTTTGGACAGGTTAAGCTGGTAATGACTATAAAACACCCATGAGGAAAAGTTGATAGGCAGTTGGGTGAATGACTTTGATTTTCACTGGAGATCTCTTTGCTCGAGATACAAATTTGGGAGTCAACTTATCAAATACATGCCATTTAAAGCCATTAGACAGGCTCACTTGGGGTGATCCTAGATATTAAATAAAGTGCAACAGATCACTTTTGGATCTTGTTAAATTCAGATTCTGATTCAGCAAGTCTGGGGTGGGACATTTCTAACACCCTACCAGGTGAAGTTGACTTTGCTGGTTCCCAGGGTTGACTAGGAAGGACATAAGAGGTGAGTGTAGATAGTGAAGAAAAGAGATGTATAGTCTGAATCCTGAGGTTCTCTAACATTTAGAGGTTGGGGAATCAGCAAAAGGAGACTGAGAAGAGAAACTGAAGACAGCTTATATGGTCAGCTCTTTCATGGAGCTTCACACTAAAGGGAATGAGAGAGATGGGGGTATAATTGAAGGAGAAAAGAAGGTCAGAAGAAAGTCAAAATAAGATCTTTAAGGGTGGGAGAAAAAATAAAATATCTGTATTATAATGATAATAATCAGTAGAAAGAGAAAAATCAATGATGCCGAGAGAGGAGAATGCTAGAGCAATGTGCTTGATTGAGCAAGGGGGGCAGATTATAGTGCTTAGTGAAGGGGGTGGTTTCAGCCAAGGACACAGCACCCTCCATGGTTATAGGGCAGAATACAGAACACACAGGCTTCTAGAAGGGGAGAAGGTATGGGGTTGATGGGAGCATTTTTTTTTTTTTTTCCCATTGAAATAGAAGCATGATTATTAGCTAAGAGTGGGAATGGGGGAGGTTTGACACTGGAGAAGAAAGTATGAACTACTCACCTCCATCAGTAAGAGGATGACTGAGTTAGAGTCCCGGTATGAGTGCCGGGCAGTGTGAAGTGCCCACTTGAGATTAAGGGTCAGGAATGTAAAGTGAAGCCAGTCAACACAGTTGTTACTCTTCTCCAGCCACATTCAGCCCTGTAGACCAAAGCACAGAGTGAGCAGAGAGCTAGATAAGCACGACTCGGTGTAACCACAATAAATCAATTTTTAAAAGCATTTTGAGTCTCATCTGAGTCAACAACCACGCTAGATACTGGCATCACAGTAATAATAACAGTAATAATTATAGGACTCTCTCTGTATGCCAGGCACCGTACTAAGCTCTCTACTGTCATTTAAATCTTCACCAAAAAGCCTACAACAGAGAATGAATACTAATATTGTCACCGTTTTATAGATGAAGAAAAGAAACAAAGGCTAAGGTGGCTGAATAATGCTCAAGCTTGCACATCTAATAAAAGAAGTAACTGAAGAGTTAAACCCAGTGCTCTTGATCAGTGCAGAGCCTAGTGGGAGATACATTAGAATCGGGGTTAGTCCTGAGTCAGTCATGGTACTTGAAGGGGACGTATAGTTAGCCTAGGGGACACAGAGGAAAACCCCTTTTATTTTTTTTAAAAAGTAAACTAAAAAAGTTTTTAAACAAAAATAGGTAAACCCAAAGATTCTAATGGACATGTACATTTCCACAGGTATGAATGTATTGATCATCTGTGCTCTAGTCAAATAGCTGTCACTCAAATGTGACAGGAGTGATGCCTCTCCCAACTGGGGAGTGGCCCAGAATGACCATGATTCTTGTTCTGTGATGTCATGAGTCTGTTACCATGTGCAGGCTCCCCATAAATTCCCTCCTCGAAGATATTTTGAGAAACAACAAATTCCGGGTTTTGAGTGTGTGCCTTTATCCTGATACAGTTCCCATAACTTTGACAGGAGAGCCCATAATAGGCAAAATATGTAAAAAAGAAAAAAAAAAGGAGTTTTATTATGTTAAGTTTATTTTAAGTATTCCTAATGTAAAGGGTTGAAAGGTCTTACTCTCTTTTAGTGGCTTCTATGGAAAGATCTGGAAACTGATTCTGATTCTGCAATGCCTCCTTTAGAAGAATGGCTAAAAACTTCCAACAGAAAAGACTGGGCAGGACCCCTCTCTTAGCCTACTGGGTGCCAGGCTGGGCTGGTCAGTTTCCAGTTTCTACCCCCCGCCCCCGCCATTTGATAAAAACTCTGTTCAAAGTTTTAGCGATGATCTGACTTTCCAACACAATTCAAAAACAGGCTTCAAACTGTCTTTATTCTTTTTTTTACCCTAAATCAAAAAATAAAACTTCATTAACAGGTGAGTTTTCTGCGAGGCACGTTGTGGATTATAAATGAGGCCAAGAATAATAATAATGAATTTTTCCAGCTCTTGGCAGACCACCTCTAGAAGAGGTAACAGCAAATCCCCAGGCTTTCCAGCAGTGTGGAATTGCTAGGTGAGGCCCACCACCCTCCAAAGGTAAAGATTACCCATCAAGGCAACAAGAAAATTCGTAAATACATGGTAGCATAATTGGGAGCTGCTCCATCCACATAATTATGGGGGGTCCCTAAATCTGGCTCTCCAGACCTCTTACATAACGAATGTACTGGTTAGACTAGGTGTTCCAGAAGTGTGCTATGAATCAAGTTTCCGTTACAGAAGCAAGCTTCTTCAGATGGGCAGGAATGTAGTAGTGCTTAAGCTGGGATGTCATATCCAGGGCACCAGGCAAATGTGAAAATGTATGCTTTCCCTGAGAAAGGAAAAGAACCATAAAGATGCCATAAAAACCTGTGAAGTATGCTCTGAGGACCAAAGGAATTCCCGAAGTCCCTCCCTTTCTTCCAAGGTTGCTTTCCTGGAGGGAGTCTTTCACGGTCCACTTGTGTGCACATTCCAGTGGATCTGGGACCACTCACTGGTCAGGGAGTGCCTGCAGCCTCGACTGGCAACAACCAAGTTCTTGACAAGTTCTTATACACCTCTGAGTCAAGCCGTAGGGCGCTGTCCAGGTGCCAAGAACATTGAGTCTCCACGGTGGGGAAATCGCACCCATTAACATAACAAGATTAACTAGGAGGACAGGTGAGGTAACCTATGACTTGGTGCCAACCTGGCAACCCAGGCTGATGCTCGTGTATTAAAATGCCCTGCCTAGCAACAGCTCTGATGCCCTGTTAAACTGGCTGGAACTTACATATTTTGCTTGCTTAAATATTTTTCAGCCTCACACAGAAAGTCTTTAGTGGCTCGACTCAGAAAGAACACTAAGGTAAGATTAGAAGGAAAGGTTGTCAGTTCCCGAGCCTTTCTTCAGGGGAGCAAAGAGCTAAAATCATACAGTAATAATAAAGCCCTTTGGGAAATCACAAGAGAGCAGAATAAACAAACAGGTGAGCCAAGAGTGGATTTTCCCCTTGCTGGTGTGTTTCAGTATAATTGAAAAAACAAAAACAAAAACGGAGCCATCTCTCAAGTCCCTGAAAACTAAAGACTGACCCCCCCCCCATGTGCCCACAACTCTGAAATTTGCACAGTGGCCGGCTTCCCATCTCATTTGAGCACCTCCCCTCCTGGGTGCCTCTGTGTCTGTCCGGCTGACCTCCACCGGAGCATCAGAGAGAAAAGCTCGCTCCTAGTGTCTGCTCTTGGGCTCCTGGATGACCCCCTAGTCTGCTCCTCCCTGGAAAACACAAATGACTAACCTAGGTTGCCAGCTCATTTTGTTTCCACAATAGGACAGCTGCCTCATAAAAGTTTAGGAGTCCTAGCACATTGTTGAGGAGTCCAACTTTTTATTCTTAAGGAGAGTGGCAGTCTGGTCCAATTACAATGTGTGGATTTTTATAATTCAACTAAAGTCTGACACTATCCACTTGGAGATAGCATTAGATCCCACAGGTTAAGGGCTTGGTCCACAAGACAGCTCTCTCTCTCACACACACACACAGACATACACACACACACACACACACAGACTTCGACACCAATCACAAGTCCAGATTGTCACCTGTGCGTCTAACCAACTGGCTGTAGATTGGGGGTTCAGATAACCCCCTCATTGGGTTCTATTGATTTGCTAGAGTGGCTCATAGCACTCAGAGAAATATTTTACTTACTAGATCACTGGTTTATTATAAAAGGATATAACTCAGGAACAACCAGATGGAGAGATGCACAGGGCAGGTTATGGGGAAAGGGTGTGGAGCTTCCATGTCTTCTCCTAAAGGTCACTCTCCTCACATCTCCATGGGTTCACCAACCCAGAAATGCTCTGAACCCCATCCTTTTGGGGGTTTTTATGCAGACCTAATTACACAGGCATGATTGATTGAATTGTTGACCATTGGAGATTGAACTCAATCACCAGCCCCCTCCTCTCCCTTGAGGTTGGGGTTGGGGGGGTACTGAATGTTCCAACCCTCAGAATCACAGGGTTGTTTCCCTAGCAACCAGTCTCTATCCTTAGGTGCTTTCCAAAAAAAGTCACCTATTTAACATAACAAAAGACATCTTTATTGCTCTCATCACTTAGGACAAAGATCAAATATATATTTCTTACTCTGAGTCACAATATCACATAGCCCTTATAAATCGTGTCTCACATCAGAGAAAGGAGATGAGTGGCATGAGGGACCTCATAGCGGTTAAAACCTTTGATAAACGGACAAATAATTCCATTAAAGTAATTGGTGCAAAGGTCCTAAAGGAAAACATCTTAAGGAACTAGATTCAACAGCTATAATTCAAGACACTGAGTATATTGCTGAGGAAGTCTAACCTTGCTCAGCAGCCTAGTATTCTGTTGTGGAGTTTTCCTTGATAAGATGTTTCCTTAATGAACCGCAGGTACTCATCTTCCTAAACCTGAGATGCCTGAAAAATAGTATCACAACCAGAGAGTCATGAAAATTCTCTCTGCCCTAACCTCTACATAAGAGATGTCCTCCCGACCTCATCCTCCCTTAAGATACTTCTTCATTCTAGTTTAGCATTCTTTGATTTCAAGGAACAGAGGATCCCTGCTAAACTAGTTCTTCATAAAGGCAGGGAGGACAGGATTATGTAAAATTTAGATCTTCCACCAAACACAGAAAAGTCACATGCAGACTGCAGCTGGAAGCCCACAAGTTCTCAAGAATGGGGCCATTGCTCTGCCCTTTCTCCTTGCTCCTCTGTGCCTCATGGGTCAGCTTCTGCACATCCCTCCCACTCTCCTCACTGCAGTTGCCTTCTGGACTTCCTAAGAGGCAGAAGAGCACTCCTGGAGACTTCATGAACTAGCTTGAGAATTGCCTTACCTGAGTTGCCTTCTGGCTGTGCCACTCACCAGCTGCGTGACCCTAGGAAAGTGAACACATTCAAGTCTTGGTTTCCTCTTTTATCATCAAGACAGTGATATTTCCCAGCTGCTAGGATGAGCCGGATGCTTGGCCCAGAAGCATTTCCTAAGCATTAGCCATGATTATTATTGTTGCTGTTGCTGTTATTACTACTTGTGGTTACTGCTTCCCTCTGATTCCGTATTTGCCCATGGTTTTAGCTTGCCATACACAGCTGCAGCCCCTTTCCTCTGCCACCTTGAGATCTGGTTTCCCCCCAAAGAGCCATCTGGGTCTTACCGTAGTCAGTATCCCCCATCAAGCTGACCTTGGTTCCTGCCACAGTTCCATTAGCAATAGCCAGGCTATGCTACAGAAATGTGGTCACCTAAGCCCTCAGCTTCAGAAGGGCCTGTTGGTGAGGGGTGGTCCTAAGGAAGTGTATTTTGGATGAGACACATCCTAAAACATGCCTACTGCATTCTTCCATGACTTTTAAACAAGGCAAAATATGTTCAACATTTTGTTTTCCTATTAGGAGTCTAGCATATGTATTCCCAATGCTGTCAGTAAACACTTTTAATTCTGAGGGTTTCATATATCTATTTCCTTAATATTAGGGCAGAATTCTCTCAGAGGTTGACACTGAGCTTAAAATATCAGTTGGCCCTAATAAACATTCTTTTCTCTCTTAAAATCCACATAGTTCAACTCAGTGAGCCTTTTTCTGCTGGACACTTACCTACAATTACGTGATTGGTGTCAGACTCATTCCAGAGCATTGTTTCTTTTAATGCTAAGCAAAAATCAATAGTTTTCATTAATACACAGTTCTAAGTTCAAGATCCTCTATCTTTACACTGATTTTTTTTTTCCACTGATTTCTAATATGGGATTGGAAGTTGGCTGCTCTCACGTTATCAGCTCAGTGATCATAAAGGATGCTCTAATTGAGTATTAAACGCAGAGCTTAGCCATGTTTTTCCTCCATTACCCATGTGATTTAAGTGGCCTGTCCAGACATGCTATGACTGTAGGCACCCACGTTGCTTGGTCACCCGGGTTACTCTTGACGTCACGTCTACAGCTGACAAACACCTAAACCTGGGATCATTACAGCAGTACATTTGGGTTGGTTCCCATTAGATTCACAGGTACAGAGATGCTTAGAAGAAGAGATAACCTTCAGTAAGCAATTGGTTCAGGGTGGGGCCTAAGCATTGTTTTTAAATATGTCAATACTCAGGGGATTTAAAAATTATTTTTAAACTTAAAAATGAAAATAACCCACAGAGTGTAAAATTCACCCTTCTTAGTGTGCCATTCTCAGAATTTGATAAACATATGTAGCCATGCAGCCATCATCATAATCGAGATATAGAAAAATTCCATCATCTCCCAAAATCTGCACCCCCACCCCCCGCTTTATACCAGGCATCTCATTTTATTTGTTTTTTTAAGATTTTCTTTATTTGACAGACAGAGACACAGCGAGAGAGGGAGCACAAGTAGGGGGAGTGGGAGAGGGAGAAGCAGGCTTCCTACCGAGCAGGGAGCCGATGTGGGGCTCGATCCTAGGACCCTGGGATCATGACCTGAGCCAAAGGCAGACACTTCACCGACTAAGCCACCCAGGCGACCCCAGGCATCTCATTTTAAAACACTCCCCAGGTAATTGTGATGGAGAGCCATGCTTGGGAATCACTGACATGACACAATACATTTTACAAATGCAAAAGTTATGTGACTTATCCAGGGTCACTCTGCTCGACAGCAAAGACTAAGATCTAGGTCAAGCTTTCTAAAGAATCTTTGTCGGGCGCCTGGGTGGCTCAGTTGGTTAAGCAACTGCCTTCGGCTCAGGTCATGATCCTGGAGTCCCGCATCGGGCTCCCTGCTCGGCGGGGAGCCTGCTTCTGCCTCTGACCCTCCCCCCTCTCATGTGCTCTCTCTCTCTTGTTCTCTCTGTCTCAAAAAAAAAAAAAAAAAAATCTTAAAAAAAAAAAAAAGAATCTTTGTCCTTGGTGGTTCCCCTTAGTAAAAATAATCCTATAAAAAAAACAATAAAACAAAAAATAGCCATAAACTGAAACAAATAAACCCCGAATTAAGACAAAATGAAAAGAGAAAAAAAAAAAAAAAAAGCACATACATAATCCAGAGAATCCTTAAATTAGATCAGAAGCAATAGCGAACCAGAAAGGATTGATTGTACTTGATTCCCAGCACAAATTCTACTTTATTTTTTATTTTTGTAAAGACTCTCTGTATCCTAGCCAATGCTAAAATGTACCTGTGGGCAAATCACCTCTAAGCAATACCCTGAAACTTAATCTCCTTTTCTCTTACTTTCCCTGTGACCTGGACAATGGAAGGGGACAAATCTGGAGAAAGTACATGCCATAAATATGTCAGGGTGACTGGCACATAGACCTGATCCAATTATGGTCTTAATGATCAGCCTCTAAATAAAGCAGCTTTGCCTGCGTTAGATGAGCTTCCTAAAGATAGAAGCCATTTTGCTTTGAGAAGCAAACAGCCCCACCCAGGGGATAGGCCAAGCAAGACCAAGGAACTGTGAACCCCTAAATGTTTTTAAAGGGAAAAGCACTGGAGCGCCATGTGGGTGTGGCCCCATATGGCGGTACAGTGTGCGGGAAAGATCCCTGCTGGGGGCAAAGAGAGTCTGCTGCTTGGCTCTGCCTCTGCCAGAAGCCAAAGTCAAGAATCATTTGAAACCCTAGGCAGGGGGCGCCTGGGTGGGTCAGTCGTTAAGCATCTGCCTTCAGCTCAGGTCATGATCCCGGGGTCCTGAGATGGAGCCCTGCATCGGGCTCCCTGCTCCTCGGGAAGCCTGCTTCTCCCTCTCCCACTCCCCTCGCTGTGTCTCTCTCTGTCAAATAAATTAAAAAAAAAAAAATCTTTGAAACCCTAGGCATGAACTCCAAAGACAGAATGGTGTACAGTAGTCCTCCTTCTCACAATGTGAACCTTTCATGAAGCCTAAAGTAATTTTCCAGCTAGAGACCTTTTTTTTTCCTTCTTCTCCCTTGACTCTGTGCAAGAAATGATCCCTAACAGGGCCTCTCAATCCCAGTAGGTCTTCAAGAGTTTGGCCATCCTCAGGCCTGGATCCTAAGCAGGATCCTTCCTTTTCTCCCTTTGGTCATTATGCTCTCAGCGTCTTGCTGCAGGTGGTCTGTAAAGCCCTGGTTAGAACCCTTTCTGTCACTTTGAACACAAAGCAGTATTCACTGAAAAATCAACTTCCTAAACAGTAGCCTGGCTCTCCCTGAGTTGTATAGCCTGACGTTTAAGTCCCCGGATGCTGACACCCAACCACCAGAGTCTGAATCCTGATTCCACTATTTCCCTACTGCATTAGTGGCAAGTTACTTAATCTCCTTTGGGTCTCAGTTTCCTCATCTGAAACTCGAGTGCAATAATATTACCTGCCTCAAAGGGGTGTTGTGTGAAAATGAAAGTGTTTAGCCCTCTGCTTAGCACAGAGGAGTACTATTATCTCAGGGAAACTTGGAGTATTTTAGCCCATCATGACTCCCTTAGGAAATATTGTATCTGAAATATCTCTTGCTAGGGACAGGCAACCGAGAACCAGCAGTTACAAGAAATGTATTACTGATAGTAAATATTTAACTTAAAAATAGTCTTTGTAATGCTTCCCCCAACTATTTTAAAATATAGAAAAATGAGCAATTTGCCCAGAATTTTAAAGAGTCAGTGGCAAAAGAAATGTTCTTCTCAATGCCCATATGTTTTGGCCATTGTTCTTCCTACGAGGACACATCACGTTTCCAGCATTCTTAACAAACCACGGGTAGATTTTAGAGTGTCTGAATTTTAAAACAGACCATTTTTATTCATCATCCTTGCTACCATTAACTGTGCCACACAAGACAAATGTATTTTCCATGTGCTGCTGAGGCACATATATGTGAGTATTAATGTTTGTGCTATTTTTAATTTCCCTGTAGTTTCCCAATTTTCTATGCCATGTACCTCAGGAATACTGAAAAAGGTACCTGTGTGGAATGAAAAGCAAAATTACCCTACATTCAGGCTCTGCTCCTTCTTCAAATTTGGTTTGAAAGGGGGAGAATCAGGTGTGCTACCCAAGGCTGCCACTTGTTGGCAAGGGAGTGTTTCCAGAAGCACGGTGTGAACTGACTATGCTAGATGAGCTCTCCATACTCTTTTTACCTGAGATTTCTTCCATTGCATCTCACAGAACAACAGCATAAACAGACGTAAGAAAAGATTCAGAAGTGTCCTACTGAAGAAAGGACATGGCTTTGGAATTAAAAGGAGCTGGGTTGGAATATCCCAACTGCCACCTACTAGCTGTGTGACCTTGAGTTAGAGACTTAGCCTCGTTAAGCCTATTTTACCATCTGTCAAATAGCTGCAGCAGTGTCGTGAGAACTGGATAACAAACATGAAGTATTGGTACATAGTAGATGCTTGCAAAATTGAAGTGTTTATCATTGTGAAACTCCACCTCCGTCCACTAGCATTAAGCCACCTTGCATAGATAGAACTGAGTTTTTAACTGAGTGAAAAATCAAGCTCTGTGAGGTTAGATTCTGCCCTAACACAACGGCATAGCTAAAAGTGAACAACTCCCAAGCCACACCTCCAGAAAGAGCTCAAAAAAGGATTATTTGTAGCAGAGATTGAACCAGATGAACAAACAGTAGCAAATATGGCAGGCGAAAAGTTAATATTCAAATGTATATTTATAATTCCCATATAGAATAACATCCTGTTCAGGAAGAGAGGTAACAATTTATTAACTAGACTGAGATGCCTTTAAAAAAAAAAATCACTATTGCTCCTTAAAAGATTAGTTGCGTGGCTTTTTCCATTTTCACTTGACTTGTTCTCTGTATGTGATCAGACTAAAAGCTAGTTGGAGCTAGTTTTCTCAGAGCTAGTAAAACTTCCTAGATCAACATGGAAAAGTTAATTAATCATAATAGCCATTCAGAACATTGTGTATG